ATATGACAATTCACGTCCCCTAGTCTTTTGTAATTAACAAATATATATATATATATATATATATATATATATATATATATATATATATATATATATATATATATAACCTCAAATTTATCTAGGTGGGCCAAAGCCCACCCTTGTACTAATGTGGCTATGCCACTGTATAAGGATAATGTTACGATGGGGCAAGCAATATGCGATGTGCATTCCACAGTCTGAAAGCTTTGATATTATAAGATAATGATTCAACGCATTATCTACATTGCTTTGCACACTGACTGTTGTTAGTTACTATGGGTGTAACAAAGAACCAAGATGGTCTTGAAGACTACTTTGAGCAAATTTCTTTGGTGGTTAATATGGAAAGTGGTTCATGTAAGAAAAAAGATATATTAAAGGAGAGTTACAGAGAAAGGGTGTGAAAGGCAATTAGTAATGGTGAACTTGAAATCGGGCGAGGTTTAAAACAAGAGAGTTCTCTTATTCAAGCAGCGATACAAGATGGGTCTCACATTACAAAACAATCACAACTTGGATGAACTTATGTGTAGAGGTTCTTCATGTTCTTACTTATATTGAAGAGGAAGGATTTACTTTAAGTAACTAAAATCAAGCATTTGGTATCTTAAGATATTTCAAGACACTTGATTTCATGTTTTATTTACATTTGATGTATGAAGTTTTACACCTGATGGGCGTATTGTCAAAGCATCTTCAAAAAAGAATAGAAACGACTTTTTTGATTAGAGGGACAATAGATGCATTGAAGTCTTAAAGAGACACGAGGTTTGATAAAACTTTATTGAAGGTATTCTCTTTTTTTCAAAAGCATACTATTAATATTTAACACACCAACTCAGGTAAATACCCTTTGTACCCTTGAAATAAGAAATTATAGCATAATGGTCCCTTAGTACGTTGGGCGTACTTTAGGAGTACGCTTAGCGTACTAAGGATGGATGATCGCGGAGGGTGGTCGCGTACATTGGGCATTCCAAGATGTACGTGGGTCGTACGTGATAGAAGAGCAACACCCTAAAACCCAGACTTGAGACCTATTTATTCATCCTTAAGCCTCGTGGACCAAACCCTAATCAGCCTCCATAGCCTCATTTCGCCATTTTACCCCAGATTTCCTTGTGAGAGTGTTCTCGAGCTTAAAAAGTGTATTTGTTGCCATTTTAGAGAGTAGTCAATAAGAAGAAGATAGTGAGCAAGCTTGGTGTGGCATTGAGCTTCAAGATCCTACATTTAGTTCATCTTGAGGAGCTTCTGGAGGTATAAAGTCTTAATCTTGCCATTTTATTCAATAGATTGAGCTAGGGTTTTCTATATTGTCCTCTTTTGGGTTCATAAGTCACCTCTTGGGAGTTTGAGCAACTCCAAAGCTTAGGAAGAGTAGATCTAAGGTCCCTTAGTTCATTCATACCATAAAAATGCAGTCTTGATGGGTGTTTTGACCTCATGCATGAGTTAAGACCCTTGGAAAGGTCTTAATGGGTTGTAAAGGGTTGTGGGGAGCATGCAAAGGCATAAAGTTGCCAACTTTATGCCTTAAGACATCTTAATGGACTCAGATCTAAAGTTGGACGTTAAAATCCAAATCATTAAGAGCTTAATGGTCGTTTGTGCATGTCTGACTTGTACGTCGCTTAAGGAACTAGTACCCTGAGCGTACTGGGGTAGTATGCAAGGCGTATGCACTCAGATGGGTTTTTAGGCTTTGTTTTGGGCCCGTAAGCCATTGGGCCTTATTCAACATTGGGTTTGGACCCCTTTTAGAGTTTTGGGCTGATTTTGGTGTTTTGCGGCCATGGTTGTTTTGGTTGGGCCTTATTGTGCCATGTGGCCCATTAATTGGGTTCTTTGATTATATTATTTTCAATCCGAATTTTGGGTTAATGGTATTATTGTTCATCACAGGTGGTTTCAGACTATTAAGGGAACAGTTTTCGTGTTCAGCGGAATAAGGTGAGTCTCCTCACCATACCAATTGGTCGAAGGCACCAAGGCTAGACCATTATGTGTTACATGGAATGTAAGTTGATTTCGTTATATGTGATATGCTATTTGTCTTTGTGATACTCGCATGGAAGACCCTGGGGGGTTCCCGTGGCAGTGGACTAAGACCATGTGGGGGTTCCTATGGCATCCGGTGTAAGACCTTGGAGGGTTTCCATGCCATACTAATATGTTTGCATGTTTAGCTTATATGACATTTTTGTGGTTAACTAAGACCATGTGGGGGTTCCCATGGCAGTTAGGGAAGATCATGTGGGGGTTTACATGACAGGTAGTTAAGACCATGTGAGGGTTCCCATGACAGTGGGTTACGACCACGTGGGGTTCCAGTGGCACCTAGTGTAAGACCTCGGAGGGTTTCCATGGCATCCTTATATGTTTATATGCATGACTTATGTAACTTATATGGCTGATATGGTTTATGTGATTATGTGGATTGTGGGGGGTACGTTATGGGGAATTCACTAAGCGTTAGCTTGCAGTTTGTTGGTTGTTTCAGGTACTTCGGGATCTAAGCGCAAGAATCTGGCGTGATGGCGTGACATGCACTCTCTGGCGTTTTATTTGGGACACTCTGATATTATGAAAAATTATTGATATTATGGATTTTGAAAACAAATGTGATTCGAATTTTATATTTTATGGAATTGATTTTGTTACTTAAAAATGAAAAATTTTATTGGAAATTTGGGATGTTACAAATATTATTAATATGACTGAAAATTATATCACTCTAAGAGCCCGAAGGGCCAAAGTTACCAGTCAGTTTCATTTCGAAGTTGAAATTTTCAACACGATTATGGATATACAAATTACAGGATAATGAAATTATCACCTAAAACTAGAATACATGAAAGCTTTGAGTCATTGTGATTCAAATAAATTTGTTGAGATTGAGTGAGTTGTACAAAAAAAAGAATTTGATGATTATGCAACTTGATGGTGAACTTGACACATGTTATCACTCTTTTGCATAAAGATGATCGCTTCACTAGTTTGAATAAATTTTTTGACATTTCTCATTTGATGGAGGAAATAAGGAAATATCGTTCTTATCCTATGGTTTATGGTTTACAGGTTGTTAATTTTGGTTTTGGTTTTACCCGTCGTGACCGCAACAGTCGAAAGATGTTTTCTGCGATGAAGTTTTTGTAGACGTATTTGCATAACAAAATAGGTGATGATATTTTGGGCGTGTTCGATACAGAGCATTTGAGAACTTTTAGCTTCTAGTGGTTGACAAAACGCCCCGTTTTGAACAGAAGGTCTTGTTTAGCACTACAAGCCTCTAGCTTTTAGTTTAAAAAATGCTCTAAATCTAAATGGTACTTCATGTAGTGTTTAACAAAATACTACTAGCTACAAGCTACCCGCTGCCAGCTAGTTTTGTGCGAACACCCCCTTTGAACGATGCCATCACTTGTAATGTTGAAAAAAAGCCCTTATGCAAGTGACGATTGAAGATATAATGGATCGCTTTCAAAAAAATGTGTACACATAGATTTCAAATTTAAAATTTAAGTTCTATAACTATTGTTTTATTATTTTTAACACATTCGCACTTTTAAAACTTTTTATGTTATTATATTCGATCATAATTATTTTTGGTGCCACTACTACTGTAAATTCCAGCGTTTGCCCCTTGGACAAACCTACCCCAAGAAGATGACTTGCACATATAGATGTCTTCATGAGGTCGTGCTTGCCTTTTTGTGTTACGATGATGAATTTTGTATTTTTAATGAGTTGCGGTTGGGTTAAATTATAAGGACAAATTACACGAATGGTCCCTATGGTTTGGTGTTTGTTACGCGCATAGTCCCTAACTCCATTTTTTAACCATGCCAATCCTTAATAGTTTGGTTTAGTGCACGCCTGGTCCCTCATCTAACCTTCCGTTTGATTTTGGAGTTAAAACCCCCACGTGCCTTGCACGTTGAGGGGTATTTTCGTCATTTTACTTATTCATCCTTTAAAAACCCTAGATCAGTGCATCCCCCTTTTCTTCCTCTACGTTTGTTCTCTCATTTCATCTCTCGTTTCTTTAATGGACAAAAAATCAACAATGATGAAATGTAATTGCGGGCAACCAAGTGTTATACTAACATCATGGACCGACGACAACCCCGGAAGGAAGTTTTATGGCTACACAAAGAAGGTAAAGTCGTTTTGATTCTAACTCAAGCTTTTGTGTGACAATGACCGAAAATCTGTTGGATTTGAACTTGACAGGGACCTAAATGTAAGTTTATTGGATGGGTTGATGAGGAAGGATGTGGACGATGTACTAGGATAATTCCAGGGCTTTGAAGGCTAAGAACAAAGTTGAAGCTGAGAATCGGCTGCTGAAGATAATCATTATTTTAAGTTGGGTGTTCATAGGAATCATTATTTACAAGTTGTAGTGCTTAAGAAGATCCAACTAGTATGCTATGTATGATGTTTGTCTTTTTTGAACTTATTTTGACTTCTATGATCCATCTAGTTGGTTGTTGTATGTGAATTTGAAGTGTTTTGAAGTGTTTCTGGAATGTATTTTGATTAAGTGTTTGTGAATTTGATAATATTTTGGTTAAGTGTTTGATTAAGTGTTTTTGGAGCTTATTTTGACTTCTATGAGCCATGTATTTTCATCAAGTGTTTCTGGAACTTATTTGGAAAAGTAAACACTAACAATTGACAAAAACAACCAATAACATATGCTAACAATCGACATAAACAACCAATAGCACAAGTGGGATTTAATAAAGGGTAATTTAGTTTCCATACTTTCCATAACATAGTTTCATACATCAACAAAATGGTTAATAGTTTCATACATCAACAAAATGGTTAACCAAAAGAAACATAATTTACCCAAAAGTATTAACCATAAGGACACAGTTTTACCAAAAAGACACAATTTAACCAAAAGAACTGATTAACCAACAAAATAAACTTTCACTAATAGATCAAGACTATGTCATCAATTTCCCTCAACCAGCTTTTCCTTTTCCCTTACCAGAACCACTAGGAGCACTAGCTTTTTGTCCCTTACAACTCCTTGCATTATGACCAATGTTGTTGCACTTTGAACAAGTAACCGACTGAAGGATTCTTGATGCACTATTACCCTTCACCATGTCATCAATTTCATAAGCTGATTTTCTGCGTTTCTTCTTTGGTCTACCTATTGTGACACCATGTTTAGGAGGAACCAAAGTTGTTGGACACACAGACTTTTCCCACATGCTTCTCCCATTAATGGGCTCAATTTTGAATGAGTACATCTGTTTCCAAGTTTTTAGCCAATATACCTCATGCACCCAAGTTTCTGGTATTCCAACATCCTTACTATTCTTCCTCATCTCCCATATAGTAGCAACAACATGTTTGCATGGCATCCCAGTGAGTTCCCATTTCCTGCAGGAGCATGTTTGTTGAACCACATCCACCGCGCATTGGTCCATCCAAGGGCCACTTACCTGATACTTACCATTTCCACAAAATACAGATCTATAATCTTCTGCCTTTTTTTTTATATTTTCCAAAGTCTGCATAGCTGTAGGTGTCAAAGGACCAGTACATTTCCCAATGGCCTTTTCTACATTCACAATCTTCTTCATTAGATATTCCCTAATGAACTCTAGGCAAGTAATAATTGGTTTATCACGACCCTCATTCAGTTTTCCATTGAATGTTTCACACAAGTTATTAAGAATCACATCAGAATGTGCTCTCCCTGTCCAATCACATCACTTAAAGTCAATTAAAAAAACTACACAAACCAGGAAAACATAAAGAATGTTATTAGAGTTAAATGTTATACCAGTGAAATGGGACCTAGACCAGTGCTGAGGTGGTATCTTCTTAAGCCACTCATAACAATCCTTGTTTAATTTCTTTAGCTCTTCCATGCCTTTGTTAAACTGTTGTACATGTGTTGCAGTTGCACATGTCCATAAGAGGTCTTCGAAAGGTTTACCCCTCCATTGCTTCCTCATGTTATCCCGAATGTGACGAACACAGTAACGATTTTCAGCACAAGGAAACAAGGTGCAATTGCATTTAGAATACCCTAACAATCATACATAGATTTTGTTAGTAAACAATTTAGAAATAAAGTAAAAAAAATCTATGATTTTAGTACCTTTTGTCTGTCTGTTATAAAAGTGAAATTAGAATTAGTATTCAAGCCAAGATCCTCCCCAAGACAACTCAAAAACCAAGTCCATGAACTGATGTTCTCTGTTTCAACCACCGCATATGCCAATGGATATGTGCCATTATTACCATCTAGTCCCTGCATTTTATGATAAATAACAATCATGAATAGATTTTTACTTATTTTTATGTATAACAATAAGTAAAAGAACCATAACTAAAACTTACCACGGCTGAAAGAATTTGTCCTGGAAATGGACCCTTCATGAAAGCACCATCAAAGCCAAGAAAATCCCTCTTTCCAGCTGCGAAGCCTTTCTTTAAAGCTCCCAAGCATATGTAAATGCGTCTGAATGTCCTCGTTTCACTGTGTGGATTTCCTTCGCTTTCAACATCAACCCTAACAGTCGTATCTGGGTTACGAGTTTGCAACTCAACAATGTAATCTCTGAGTAAACTATACTGAGTAACGAAATCTCCTTGCACAAGGTTTAGAGCCTCAGATTTTGCCCTAAATGTTTTCATCCTAGAAAGATCTACCTTAAACCTCCGTTGTAGCTGTTCTTGCAAAGCCCTAATTGGAATAGTAGGGTTACTTTCAACCTGTTCAACAATTTTAGAAGAGAGGAATTTATACGTACATGCTTTTACTGTTCTAGTTTGAAGACATTTATGGACTTTGTTGTACGTTTTAACTGTCCAGTTGACATCTTTTTTCCATTTACTAGCTAATAAGACCCAAGGACATATTTCTTCTTCATCGTTGACTTCTACATTAGGCCCAAGCTTTGGTATTGTTCCCTTACAAACCCATCTCACTCTATTCTTGTCATTTTTTTCAAGGGCCAGCTCCCTTCTAGTCTCTATGGCATGGAGTTTTACCTTATCCTTAAACTCCTTTGCTGAACCAAATTTTTGAAAAATATAGAAGGGTTCACTAACAAGTGCTTCATCATTCTCATGTGCCCTTTGAATTGCTCTTATTGATTTCTTTCTTTGACCATTAATCCCCTCATCTGATGATGAATCAGATGCTAAAAAGTCAGTGTTAATCACCTCTAAAGCTTCATCCTGTGTGCCTTCATCAACCACAGTGTTAGACGACCCTCCAACCCATTCCACATCTTTGTCGATATTCATTTCAAAATCTTGCATATCCACATTAATATCATCCAATATATTTTCAATGTCCACAAAAAAATCACTATCATCACTTTCATCATTGTCACTCTCTAACTCACCAAACTTACCAAAGTCATTAGCATCATTAACCAAGTCATTCTCCATATGATCAGTGAGAGTAGCATCATTACCCAAATCATTCTCCATATGATCAGTGAGAGTAGAATCATTACCCAAATCCTTCTCCAGATGACCAGTGGGTGTAGGATCATTACCCGATTCTTTCTCCATGTGATCCATGTCATCCTCCAAGTCAACAGCAGGTGTGCTATGCCACTCCAGGAACAGTCTCTTTGAACAAGATGGAGGTTCAGTAATCTCCGTTATACGAACTTTACTGTGGGTTGGGGACATTAAATAGGTGTGCAGAGTAGTTTTTCATGCTCTATATATACCTCAATTAACTTATGCTTAGCCACAAAACTCCCCAAATAACGAACATCTTCATCACTAGCTAAAGCGAATAACCCAAAATCTAAATCGCCTAAAGGCCTTTGAAAGTGATAGTAAAGTGGTTTACCTATTGAAGCATACCCTAGGTCTTCCATTATCTCGTCAATGTCATGAACGGAAAAGGTATCAATGTCCAGTAAATCAACAAATGTTTGCTTCCCACGAATATACTTCCTTCCAGGAAAGCTTGTAAACTCACCTCCATGGTGCATTCTTATTGAAAACATTGTCGGATGTCCAGCTGTAGAGGAGAGAATCGTTTTTTGCTAACAAAATTAAACCTTTAACAGTCAATTTCATTCAAACGAAAGTCAATCAAACATACCATAACTTTGATCAACGTCGATTTCAGCCATTTCACCACGAATGCGCCAAGAAACCATTGCAATTCTTTGTTCTTGCAGTCGTCGCTACTAGGGTTTTCACGTAAGGATTTTGCACATAGTTGTGTGTTTTTTTGGGTATACGATTGTGTAATGTAGAGTATGATCGTTTAATTGAACGCACCGATTTCTTAAACTGGCGGTATGAAGAATAAGTAAAATGACGGAAATACCCCTCAACGTGCAAGGCACGTGGGGGTTTTAACTCCAAAATCAAACGGAAGGTTAGATGAGGGACCAGGCGTGCACTAAACCAAACTATTAAGGATTGGCATGGTTAAAAAATGGAGTTAGGGACTAGGTGCGTAACAAACACCAAACCATAGGGACCATTCGTGTAATTTGTCCAAATTATAAGGATATATCATGCACTATATGATGTTTCTATTATGACATTGTTTATAGTGTATTTTTACAAGGCATTATGATGCTTTTACTTTCGTAGATTATTAAAAAGGTTTTAGTTATGTAATTTATTACGATGTATGGAGTCTAAACACAATATGTCTCACCAGGAATTTCAAGCTCAAGATGATTAAGAGCCGCTTGATGATTATTGATATGTGTCTTTCAAAAAAGTTATCAATTACTTAAAATACTAGATTTCAGACTATTGGACATCTATCAAGTGATTTTGTTAAACATTTTTTTATTATTGAGTCAAATGCGTTAAAAAGCTTGGACGTTTGGTTTGTATAATTGATGATAGTGCTTTAACGTATTCTTTTCTAGGGTAAATTACATGGATCATCCCTATGGCTTAAGTTAGTCTGCATGGTTGGTCCTAACAAAGAATTTTTAACTCAGACGGTCCCTATTTTACATTTTTGTTGCGTGTTTGGCCTCTACTAAACAAAAAAAGACAGTCTTACCCTTTCATATTAATATTCATCCTTTTTATTTTTTATTTTTATTTAGAAAAGATATTTATAAAACAATTCATATGGGTCCCACCACCCAAAAATCACATCTCCTACTTCCCTCTCTTGTATCTTGTAATCTACACCCTGCCTCTCGTATCTTCACTTCCTCACCGTCGAGTCTGCCTTCCTCACCGGCAAATTGATTAACCTCCCTCCGTTATCTTCACCGAGGAGTTTCATCTCATTCCTCTACCTCTCCATCTCTCACTTATTCACTTATTCAGTGATGGAAATCATGGAATCCCAAAATAACTCATTTTGCCACTGCAAGCTTGTAACTCATGATGTTGCCATCGCCTGCCCCATCGTTAACGTCAAACAATGTCTATTGGCCTCCATTGCCAAGCGATCATCAGTTGACCTCTCTCTATTTCTTTGGTGTACTCTGCCTTTCTCTATTTCTCCAGATTACAAACACCGATGGTTAATTTCCAATAATCAAGTGTTGATTACAGTGTGTTTGATGATGTTCGTATTTATACACCAATTGTCAACGTTTGTTGACAAATCTAGTTTTGGATTTTAGGGATGACCTGAGATAAGTTCCGTTTAGTTGCAAAATCAATTTTTTTTATGTTGTATACTGGGTTAAAAATTAAGCTTCAATGTGGTATCTGGTTTTCAGAGATCACGCCTTCCCGATAGCCAAAAACGACTTCACCAAGTATGCAATATGGTGAATTTGGAGTAGATGTAATGAAAATTCTAGGTGGGTTCTCTGTAAATCAGATTTCAGTGATGGTGGCTGGAGGAAATCCGGTTGAATCAAAATTGGTTGATGATAATATGTTTTATAGATTTGCAAATTTGGGTTTTGTGTGTGGGAATTAGAAATAGGAAAAGGGGTAGCTGGTATTATTTTTTAATTTTTCTAGTCCGAGTTTTTCTTTAGCTTGCCGGTGAACAAGAAAGAGATTGTGAGGGGCACTCAACTCTTGGTTGGATATGATAGAAGGGGAAAAGGAGGGGATCATGGTTGTAATAATGTGGTTGTACATTTTTTCTTTAAGTGGTTGTCCTTTAATTACCTATTATTAAGTTTATTGTTTAAATAATCAATAAATTAAAAAATAAATAACAAATTAATTAAAAAATAAATAATTAAGGGTAAAATAGTCTTTTTATGTATGACTGGGACCAAACGCGCAACAAATTATAAAATATGGACCGTTCGAGTTAAAATTATTTGTAGGGACAAACCATGCAAACTACCCTAAATAACAGAGACCATCGGTGTAATTTACCATATTTTCGATAATAATGGGGTTCTTTATTTGTTAGGGAGAATTTCGTATATACCCTTGTTAAACAGCTAAATATCGTATTTGCCCGGCCTAAATTCCAAATATCGTGTTTTCCCTTCTTAATGTTTTTTAATATCATATATACCCAAATCTTTTTTTTTATTGATTTTTAATTTTTTTTTGCCATTTTAAAATCATTAAAGCTAAAAAACATTTTAAATAGACAATTTTTCCCTTCTTCTAAATTCCAAATCATACACACGTTAACGGGGATTATTGATCGCAGATTCATCCTTCCGTCTTCTGTGACAACCCGATATTTCAACTCTTTGTAATGGCCTAATAGGTCAAGTATTGTAAACATTTTTGAGTTCTAAAATTAACTTTGATAATAAAATGTCCAAAAAGTTTCTATTTAAATTCTTCTATGTTTAGATATCATTAAACCATGATCGTACGTAAAAAGAACGCCCAAATCCGACTTCGTATATTGAAGTTATGATTTTTCCAAGTTCAGCTTAGCAACAGACAACTAAAAACTCGAATCGGAGATCGAGCGACATTTGGCCGGAATGACCTAAACAAGAATCGAAGGTCTCGACAATGGTATTTCAACGGTAAAAAGTCTGGCAAAAACCGACGTCAGATAAAGAAGTTATGAATTTTTAAAGAAATTCCTTAATCACGTCATTTTAATAAATAAATAATAAGAATAATTTCGGAATTTTCCAACGGAATCTAATCGAAAGTTGTAGATCGTAGTCTCACCTTCGCGGGGATATAAAGAACGTCGAAAACGGAGTTCGTATGAAGGAGATATGAATTTTTGAAGTTTGATAAATAATTTATATATAATTTTTATTAAAAATGTTGGTAATATCCGAAGGGGAGTCAGCCTAGGGCCGAAGTACGCGCCGCGTACCCTCGTCCGCCCTGCGTACTCGAGACCACGGCCTCGGATCGTCCACATCGCCCTATGCGAAGCTACCAGACCCGCCGTCCCATCCGACCCGCCCCATCCGAAATACGTAAGCGATGACGTACGGGTACGCGCTGCGTACGCCAGTACGCCCCGCGTACGGAGGCAGTTCAGCCCCCTATAAAAGGGATGCGAGCCTTTCCGAAAAATTTGTTCATTTTCTCTCTTTCTCTCACGATCTTGCCTCGATTTTCGTGCCCGTTCAAACCCGAAGCTCTGGTCTTTTTGCTCAAGTCCCGAGAGTCGATTTTACTCCCGAGAATCCCGAGAAAAATCCGTTTCCCGAGACGAAACTTTGCCCGGTTTTCGATCTCGCTATCTTCAAGCTTCCAAGTGAGTTCATACCCCTTTATTCAACCTTTGAAATGCTTTTAAATGTTTTAAATACTTTATGGGGGGAATACAAGTTAAACACTTATAGTTATTGCTTCGATCACATGTGATTACATTAATCACATGTGATTAATAACTAGGAAACCAATGATTTTATCACTGTTCAAACTGTTTTACTTCAAAATGTTTCACAAACTCTTTTACTTATCAAATGCTTTTATTTACACTTTGTTTTACTACTTATAAATTGCATGCCCATATATGTATAGATATATAAGTAATGTTTAAAGGGCTTAGGAAGGCCATCCGCCCTATTTCCTTTTCGCGCACTGAGATGTGGTCTGGTGGGATTTTGGGTGACCATCTGAGGGTTGTTTCAATATTATTTATATATCATATATACATGTATAGACATAAAAGTACTTCCATATTCATACTTATCAGCACATCATTAGTAAGTTACCATCGGGGTAACACAGGATCATACTACTACAATTTCTAGATCAACGAGTCAGTTCATTCAGGAGTCAATACTTATTACTAAGAGAACATATACAACGATACTAGAACAAGTAACATTATATTACATATACACGAATACGTTAACAATTATGATCCACTGTATGGGAGCATGTCTTAATTGTCATGACCCGAGTTGTAGCCAGAGTCTCTTGGAGGGAGAGCGTGAGTTTGCGTATAGATCTATACTGGATTGACTATCCTACACCTCGCTGCTAGCTACAGTGGGACCGACAGGTCTGCAGGTGCCAAACGTCATACCTTATTTTTCGACTATACGTTGTCGTTGTTACCAGTCGATAGTATGGTGCAATTTATCAGATGATACCTTAATATAAACCCGGTTTAAGGTAGTTAGTACAGCAGTAGTTCCTATAAAACAAAACTACCGTACTACAATAATTTACCCATTAGATTTTGGTGATAACCTCACTTAAACTTTAATGTACAAACTATATTTTGTTAAATGATAGTTACAGTTGGGAAATTATACACTTTTACATCAAACGAGCATAGAAAACAGTTAAGCCTTGGTAGAGGGCTACTTTAACAGAAAATATAGGTTTTTCTGAGAGATTCAGACTTTTACAAACACTTACATACATTTACAACTCATACTTGCGACAGGTTCAAACGTTTTGATAACAAACCTCGACACTAAAATACTTATGAATTCACCAGCTTAATGCTGATAAACTCTTTCAAAATAACTTGTATTCTCAGGTCATCAGTAGACAGGTACCGATGCTAGCTTTTGAGAAGATGGAGCGCATTCAAGACTCATCATACTATTTTGATTTACATTATATATTTCGTGTCTAAAACTGTACGGAACACGCTTGTATTAAAATTTTATATTTAATGCAAATGGATGATGTTGTTTGCTTATTTACATTTACTGTGTTGTGATACTTTACATGACGTCCTCCGCCCCAGAACGTTTCCGCCATTCTTGGTTTTGGGGTGCGACAGATTGGTATCAGAGCATTGTTTATAGTGAAG